AGCTTCTCGGTGCCGCTTGGTACCATTCGGTACCCCTCCGAGCAATACCGAGCGGTACCGAGTAATATCGAGTTACAGTACCGAGCGATACTGAGTTCCAATATCGAGTGGTACCGAGTTCCAATACCGAGTAGTATCGAGTTCCAGTACCGCTCGGTACCGAGTAATATCGAGTTACAGTACCGAGCGATACTGAGTTCCAATACCGAGCGGTACCGAGTTCCAATACCGAGTAGTACCGAGTTCCAATACCGACCAGTACTGAGTTCCAATACCGCTCGGTACCGAGTAGTACCGAGCAATACCGAGTTACAGTACCGAGCAGTACTGAGTTCCAATACCGAGCGGTACCGAGTTCCAGTACCGCTCGGTATCGAGCAATACTGAGTTCCAGTACCGTTCGGTACCAAGCGATACCGAGCGGCTCGATACCGAGCCTATGATTAAGAAAACGAAGAACGAAGAAGAAAACTCGCCTTCACTATTCGCGTTGTCGAGCCGCTCCGTCGACGAAGGATGATCCTATCGACTTTAATGCTCGCGTCGTCAAGCCTCTTTGTCGACAAAGGATGATCCTGTTTGCTTCTATGCTCGCGTCATCGAGCCGCTCCTTCAACTATAACGAAGAAAATGAACACTTGTGTGGAAACGAAAAACCTAGCTCTTTGAAATGTTTCAGCCACATAAATGAATATGGATATTGAGCGGAAACGGTGGAAAGCCGAAAAGAATAGGGTAAATTGCGGATCCGTGTTTTTTTTAATAGGACACGCGTATCGGATACGCGTGTCCAGCCAAATTTAAATAGTATTTTAATTGGATACGGCAAAGCCGTATCCGACACGTGTCCGATACAGAACGCCTCGTAAATAGGAGTATCCGTGCAACATAGCCTTGGACTAATTACAAACAACGGTATCAGACATTCAGACTCGAACCCTTAGCATATAAACGGATAAACCTAATCAATATGGTTGACACAATTTGTATTTGAATTGAGGCCCAGAGCATTATGTTGGTTTGGTCCTCCAAAAAACATTTCAATAATTTATTGCTTTGGAAGATATTATAGTCTTCTTAGGAAGACATCTGCTGGAACCCTTGGCATAAGTTGGGTCCACTTAGAAGTTATAAATCATTATGCTTTCACAGCATTTAGGAGTATAATATAGATATTTAGGAGTTATCTATGGTAATATAGGTGTTCCTAGAGCATTTTTATCTTATTTAAACATAGCTTAATTGATTTAATTCCTCAACCTACATTTCAATGCATTAATAAGAGCAATGATGCACTAATGCAACTTATGTATCATTTTTATGGACATGCAATCTGCTAATGAGCATCATCAGTTTTAACACACTTTTTTAAATGTTTCTCTTTTTTCTTTTTTTTTCTTTTTTTTTTTGCATCGACATGCTTTATAGAGTAACTTTACACACTCATGACTTTTCGGATGCTTCCCAAAAAAACTTGTAAAAACCTCTCTTGCACTGACCAATGATCAAGGCTTCATGTCAGCCAAAAATATTTTTTCTAGTTTTTTATAGTTTTTTAGGAAATTTCTAAAAAATTCTTCAATCTAGAGGGGTTTTCTTTTAATAACCGATTTTATATCCATGAAAATCCAAAAAAAAGGGTGAGAAAAGAGAATAAAAATTTCTGCACAACTAAAGATCAACATGAAACTTAAAGGAATTTATTTGTATTTTTAGAAATATTCTAATATTTTAAGGCAACTTTCTAATTTTCGAGTCATTAATGTAAATGGTGTGTCTATATATATATATATGTGTGTACGCGCGCGCGCAATAAATATAACTAACAAATTATTTTAAGGCTACTTTTTTTTCTTATTTTCTTTATCATTTTTTTTTTTTGTGCCGAAGATTTCTCCATCTTCTCATTTATCTTTACCAAAGCACAACCTTCATAAAACAAGATCTTTAGTTGATATTGTCTTAGTCAACATTTCAAGCGGTGACGATATCTCTCCAGTAGGCAAAGAAATTTGAGTGTGGTGAGTGGTGACAACTTTAGGACTATAAAAAGATTGTGTTGACTATCGTCTAATAAAAATTCGATAATTAACATCAAAAAATAATCACAGCTGAGGAGAAAAAAAGAACGCCCTTTGCAACCATACCAGAGATCAATGGAAGAAGGAAAACGTTAAACAAACCAAAAAACAATGGATAAGGGAAGGGATGGTCTACAAACTTAGTTGAAACAACATAGAGTTTGAAATTTAAGCAGATCAAAGATCAGTAACTTTTTAAGAATTGCTCAATCAGCGGTGGTCATCTTCTATGTCTTTAACTTTTTTAGTCCTAATATTTTTTTTTTCTTTTAAATATCTACATCTTCTCACCCTATATCGCTCTCCATTTTTTTTTTTTTTTTCCTATGTAACTCCCCTTTCCAGATTTTAATTATGAAATGGGTTAAGGGGTCATGTGGGTTTATATTGGGATGCACATGTTAATACAATTTAACGTGCACTAATTGTGCAAGTACATTCCACTAAAAAGTGAAGCACTCGTTCCATGCTTCCTCTAAGAGAACCTTACCTCTGATGAAGAGTACAAATCACATGAACTAAACTATACATTAGGACAATTAAAGCTAGGGTTCAAGAAGTGCATTTCAATTCAACCCTAAGGCTTGATGAACTAAGAATTTTATTTGGTTCAGCTATTCACATACTGAACCAAGGAGAATTGTTAAGCTTAATGAATCGAAAAATTTTATTATCTTAGCCATTAGAGAGCTTGTTGAGACAATATGGTAGCATAGGTCTGCCGATTATGTGCCAAGGGTGTAACATTAGCTCTTGGGCTTACTGAACTACCAAGAAGGAGACTCATTGAATCATCATATAATTCAACTATGCTACTAGCACATTATGGCTAGCAATGCTTAGTTACAGCGTTTGAACAATGTGCATGAACAATAATTTCAAATTCATGAAACTCTATCATTTCTCCATGTTCAAGTTAAAAAGTTAAAATGGGCAACCTAGCACAAGATGTGAGTGAAAATGCTTCTACACTTTTAGTACAAGAGGCTTGTATATTATTGATTGGCTCAACATCCACCAAAAAATATATTGTGAGAAAGGCATTGAGATTTTGAATTGTTCAAACAGTCCATGCAATGATATGAGAACTCAGTGATATATCAAACCAACAAATGAATAACAATAGTTCTCAAAATAGGAGAGAAGATGAATTAAATTGTTTCAACTATAGAACCAGTATCCAGATGGAAGCCCATACCACAGTCAAATGCGATGACAGGCTTCAACTTGATTTCTTCTTCCTGAGATTAGAAACAGATGGTCATTGTCAACTTATTCAAGGGAGGGATATGTTACAAAATAATAAATGATACTGAGAAAGGGAAAGTGCAAAAAATGATAAGCAGTGTAACATATAATCTTCCCCATACCTTTACCCTGAGTTTTTTGGCTCTTTTAGTGACATGCTTCTGAGAAAGCTCTCTGCTTTGTTGGTCCTGTTCATCAAAAAATATGATTAACTAAGGCACACATTATAACAATTGGCATTTAGCTTTAAAAGATCAAGTTGGTAAAACATCCTACATTATGCACAATAAAAATCCATCGACTGTTATTCTCAAGAAATAATAAAAACCTTATTTTATTGGGTTTCTTACGATTATAAATGGTAAGAGTTTAGAGATTGGCTCTTTCTTGTTTATAGATAGCAGTACTTCTTTATTTTGGACTATAGTTAAAGTAAATATTTGGTGTGTTATTTTTGTTATTATTACTCCAAACTCTTGTTTTGATTATGAAACTTGTTCTGACTCATTGAACTCAAATCGATATCAATGTACTTCCTTTGGCTTCGCCATTAGTTGTAACATCCACTTTCAACAGCAGCTACTTAGATAAGAATGCTACCAAATCAATAATTTTTTAAATATACTGTTCCAGTTTGTACAAATATTGGCATGTAAGAAACATTGATACCAATATTAGCCATAAACAACTATGCAGCCATGAATATAGAAAATAACAAGATAATAGAAATGAGTAATAATAGGTATGGTGATGTTTTAGCCCATTTACTATTGTCCATTTGTCCTATATACTACAGATGAAGTTAAAAATAAGAAAAGTGATAGCAATTCAAACAAACCATGTGAAGCAAAGCTCCAACAAGGGCTATCTGACTAACAAACTCAGCCAATTCAATTGTATTTTCTTAGGACTACTCTATTCAAGCTTTAAGCTTTCACGTATATCATTGGTTAAAAACTTCAATCCTTCCAAGGTGGTCTGCAGCATCAAAAACCAACCTAGCCCCAACTAAAACAGACATGCTGACATTTTTATTAACACAGTTTTCAAGAAATACATTGCACTCGGATGTCCAATAGGTTTGTGGAGCATACTTTATACATTTTTCAAGGAAAGAGTATGGCTTACTCATCTAAACATTATATTGTAAATGAATACCAGTTAAAAGGTACAATATTGCAAAGAGTTTGGTATAGGAGCGGACAGAACCACTAGAACAATCAGACACGCAGCCTGAAAACTAAAGAGTCAAAAAGGTGACATGACTAACCTGGTGCACAGAAAAAAGTCGGAAAGCACGATCTTGTCCAGCGGATAGAATGCACCTCCCATTCTTATAAAATCTGAAACTTCTAAGAGTCAATTAATTCTATATTTCATAACTTTGTACAGTGATACACAAACAAAATGAGTAAGTTACAAGCTATTAATATCTAAATTCACTGAATTCCCCAGGTAATTCAAATCATCAAAGAATTAGAGAATAGCTTTGGTGACAAAATCTTTTGTACCATTCTTTGCTATTGTCCAGGCCATGGAGCAAGAAATTTGGTTTGCTGATAAGTTCAATTTATTAGTAAATCATATAGTCATAAATCATAATGACCTACATATGAAACAAGAAAACTGGCAAGTCGAATATACCAAATTACAAAGAAGGACAAGCACCATAAATTTAATTTGTTCAATATGCACTCAGAAAAATCTAGCATTCATAAAATGCAAATTGTGTCACATCATGGATAAACAACCATATATTCACAGACCAGACAGATGAAGACTCGTGAATCACCAAAGCTTTGTCATAAAATTTCATTTGTTAGGAAGTAAGCGTACAAGTACAATCAACAAAAAACTTAATACTCGCTGGTTATAGCCTCCTTGTTTATTTACCCAATTGATTGAAAAAGCTTGATATGGAAATATAAGTATGTCACTGGTTCATTTATTATTTATGATCAAGAGCATGATCACTTGTTAATCAGGTAGCTCAATATGAGCTCAATGAAAAACCTTTTTATTATTGACAAAACAGTTTATTTTAATGCATCATCATGAGATTTAGTATTACTTTAAACAACCGTATTAGCAAATGTATATCAAGACCAAATAAATTAATAGTTCAATCAAAAGTTTAGCAGCTCTATTTCATTAGTGATTGCTATTTAGGGGGCCAGACAGAATATCTTGAATTACTTAAAGCTTCATGAATAAGTATGAATAATTTTATGTTAAGCTTAAGTTAAAGCTTCTTTTGAAAAAAAAATGAATAATTTTATGTTAGTTGATGAGGCTATCTAACTATCAAGATCTTAATTAAAGCTTCCTTTGTCCAAGCAAAATTTTATCTCGAAGCTCAAAAAAATAAAAAAATTCTAAAAGATCTTAAAATTTGAGATGTATTCAAGCTCAACAAATGAATAAAGCAGACAAGCTTAAACAAGACAATAATATGCATGGCAAACACCTCCATTCATTAATAAAGAAGGCATACAGATTTTATTGCATAGTCATTACTAGTCATCATTTGTTTGAAATCACCACAAAGAACTTAAAGGTGCATTAATAAATGATCAAGGTCCCACAAATGCGGGCTCCACGAGGCCTCGTTGGACAAAATTAAACCCAACAGCAACATGATGTTAAAACATCAAAATGCTATAAAAAGTAATTATTCAGATTTGTATGCTTCACATTTATACATTTAAGAATCACAATTCTCATCATCAAAATGCTATAGAAAGTAATTCTTACACATTTTATGAGTTATCAACAAAGAATTGCAAAAGAGAAAATTGAATTGAACAAATTGAAGTAACAAGCAAAGCTATTAGGAAATATCTAAATAATAAAGAATTGACAGCTATATGACCTTAAACACAACGGAGGAGCACTATGGCCACTTCGAAAACGCAATAGACGAGCATCTCCATCTGTCGAATCAAAAATCCACATCTACAATTAAGAAGTTTGACAAACAAAAATTAGTTTAAAAATGCAAGCAACATGTTCAGTTAAGTATAGAAAAAGAAATCAGTGTCGCCGCACAATCCTCTTAAATTAAGATTGAAAGGAAGTTAAAAGGATATGAACATCATGAATAAATCAACAAACATTACAAGAAAAAAAAACTCATGAATCAAGGACACCATAGAAGAATGCAAATACATCAAGATCAATATTTTAAAAAACTCAGTTCAAAGCTCACTTTATTAGCCTTCAAAGTAAATCTTTCACAAAACATTTTCAAAATATGAGCTTGAAGAATAATCATTTGGATCTTATGTTTGAAACTTTCAAGTTCACACTTCTTGCCACTCTTCAAAACTTCAAAAAACTGCAGTCCATCATAACTGGATTGCATTCCTAGTACCTCACTGACTTAGTAAATCTCAATTCTAAGGGGCCAATATTTTATTTATTAATGTCATTGCTAGTTGGTACCGAGCACAGATAATTAGCAAATAGCATGAGCACAAAACCAATGATACAATCATACAAACAATCAAGTAGAGAAGCCTAAACTTAAACAGCAGACAACTCAGATAACAACTAAAATGTAACAAAATATAATACAAATATCTCTTTATACTGCAAGAAGGACTCAAACACTTACTTTTATTGAATTGTCTGAAGCAGAGCTCATGAGAACAGGCTCATTAGCAAAGAAATGAAGGGATATAATTTGACAGTCATGAGCTTCCCTAATGACAGATTGCAGCCTTCTCTTCTCAAGATGCCATATACTAATAACACCCGATGATCCTCCAGATGCTAGAAGAGGTTCTCCATCTAACGCAACAAGAGAAATTCCCTTAGAAAATGACTTCACAACTAAAACGTACAATAACAACAACAATAACATCAAGTCTTTACCCCACTACGTGGGATCGGCTACATGAATATTTTTTTCTCCATTGTGTCCTGTAAGAGTCGAATTCACATTTAAATTTAATAAAAAAATATATAATTTCTAATATTTTTAACCAAGCCTTTTTAGGTCTACCTCTACCTATCTTATCATGGGCCAAATCTAGTAAGAATAATTATGTCAATGTGCTCATAGACATCATTCTCACAATCAACTAAACATCAAAATGTAAAACATGATATTCATAAAGTTTTCTAAATCCTACCCCCCCCCCCCCCCCCCCCCCCAAAAAGGAACCCCCCCCCCCCCCCACCACCCCCAAAAAGGAGACATTTAGCTTCTCTAATGAGTACAATAAGCGTTCAAATCCAAATTCTAATTAAAGATAAACAACTAGCAAGGGAACAATTGGTCAAACCTGACATAACTTCTGTAGTGGGTGATCCAAAACTTCAATTATTAAAAAAAATAAAGATAAAATGGAATCAATAGCTAAAAGCAGGTAAGCTAGAAAAACCATAAATGTAAACAGAGTGTAAGTGAAATGTACGTGGTTGTGAAATTTATATTAAGGAGACATTACTAAAAGATCATGAGGTTCCTAGATGTGAACAGTTTACAAACCTTGGATTTTTTATAAAAATAATCAAGATGTAAATGAAGGCATAATTTTTATGGTTCAAGTTGGGAAGTTGGGTAAAAAAAATGCAACAATAGTGTGCAAAATCTTACGAATGCTTAAGGTATAACAACGCAGCTAGGTTGACTGTGCTATATGAATATTAGCATTGGAAACAAAGAAGCAATTGATAACCATTTGGGTCTGCAAGAATATAGATATTAACATGGACAAATTAGGAAGGATGTGGTAAGCAATGATATAAATAGAAATGGTGGGAATAACTCCTTTTGTAGATAAGGTAGTGAAAAGCATACATGAGTATTCATTTAGATGCATACAATGAAAGAAAATGAGCAACTATAAGTGAGTTTACAAAACAAATGTAGAAGGAATAGAAAGGAGAAGAGAGACCAAATATAACAATGGCAAGAGGTTTTGCAAAAGACTTGTCAAAATAGAATTAACATACCACAGTATTCAACAAGAATAAATGATGGAGGATCCATAAAGCCCACTCACAAATAATTATCATAAGGCCAGAGAAAATGGTATTAAGGACCTAATTAATACTCCAACTATTGAATATTCTAAAACATATTCCTCGGCGTGTTTGCATGATGACTGGCAAATAAAATAGGAAACTTTTTGTAATTGTCAAATTTTTATAACAATTAAGAAGGATATTGAAATATATAGTAGTTTTAAAATTAAATTCAAACAAACAAAAATTTGAACAGGCATAAGAACAAGAACATACCAGTTCTAAATGATAGCGCAGTAACAGCACCACGTGTTGAATGGGTAAAGGAAACAACCTCCTCATCATAAAGAACATTATGAACATGTATTGTTCCATCAGAACAGCCAACAGCGACTACATCTAAGGCAGGTGATGATACACAACAATGCACAGGTGAGTTCCAGCCTTTAAATTCATAAAGTTTCTTCCTTGTGCTGATATTCCACAACTGCAGAGAGCCTGCTTGGCTACCCAAAATGACCTGACATAAGCGGAATAAGTTTCCAGGAAATTGTAGTGAGTATCCTATGAATTGTCACAAACCAGTATAACGATCTTAAAAAGTTTATCAAGCTAAATCCTCACCTACCTTATTCAGATAAGTATCTGGATGTATAATACAACTTGGTAAGAAGCCATGTTCCAATTGTATATGACTAACAGCCTCAAGATTCTGTTTAATTTCTTTGAATGGCCAGATGAAAATATTGCCTTTAACATCAACACTTAAGACATAATCTCCAAGAACAAGCAACAGTTTAACCTTTTCCTGGTGCCTGCTCCATGTTGCAACCTGAAAGAGATAGACAGAGATAGAAGTCAAGAGAAAAACACTATGCTATTATAAATAAGGAAAAACATTAGTTGGCAAGGGAACTCTTTTTAAAACTTCCACCAAGAAGGAAAAAAATATGACCAGAAAAAGTTAGTAAAGCATATTATGAACGATAGTCAATACTACCTGATACTGAATTTGTGATTGAAAATGAAAGTCACTTTAAACACTCAAAATGATGTTTTACCTAAAAACTTGGTACCAATCACCCCATATTATGGTACCAATGTTTTACCTAGATGTGAACAGTTTACATGTTACTCTTCTATCCCTATCTTAAAAAGAGTAGATAATAATGCATTCAATATAAAGAATGACTAGAGCAGCAAGCAATGGCAAGTATTTTTCAATCCAAACCTGATCAGTGCGCGCAAAAACTCCAATATTAGTTCCATAAGCAACAAAAGTATAGTCACGGTTGGAAGCAAGAGCTCGGATCTTCTTTGGCAATTGAGGACCTTAAAGCATACAAATAAAATGTACTATAGTTAGTACAACAAAAGGGTTTATGAATCAAGACCGCACTGTTTTGATATCTGACCAATAGATACAGATATATTAGGACAGAAGGATGAAAGAACAAGCTACCTTCATTTCATAGTAAAGGTTGTTATCTGAATCCAAAGGAAATACAATTATTTCCTTGCAAACTTAAAAAAGTGCAACCAGCATCGCAATGCCTGAATGGTACAACATTCACCTAGTTACATTGACTTAAGCATAAGAAACTAATCCAAGGCTGTTCACCCGGTTACATTGACAAGAGCATCATGCAATGAATGTACAATATCAAACACTAAGAAATTTAGGCATGGACCACCACTACAGTAAACATGATAGTGCCGAAAAGCTGGATATCAAACACTAAATTGAGCCACATTGAATATCTAAATACTTTATGAGGCAAAGTACAGCACATAATTTGGTGTGTTGTCTTTTTGTTTTTCCAAAAAAATGCCAAAAAAATTCGACACTCGGCATTTTTTTAATTAGATGTGAATACTTCTTACACAAAATATCAATGCAAATTAAGCCACTCTAACTCAATATATCAAATCTACCTAATTTTAATTTCATTGATATATATATATATATATATATATTAAAGTGCACTTTGCAATCACCACCATTAGTCATACAAACTACTAAGATTGTTTTATCCTCCATCTCTACATTCTTATTAAGTACTACAAATTATTAACTATAGTTCAAGTAAATCTTTTTAAACAACTACCAGCCATGTTAATTTTGGTATGTACTATGTTTTCCTTTACTCCCATCCACATGAATTCAATTTATTGACTTGCTGATGCAACTTATTTCCTCTGCTACATATGAGTAAATTACCAAAGGTTATTTCCTTATACCTTATGCCAATACATGATACTCACAATATAATCAATTCTCACTCTATACTCCATAACTGAACCACACATTTATCTTAATGTTTTCATTTATATAACCTAATAATATAAGTGCAGGAAATAAACAAGTTTGGATAGATATGATTTTAGTTAATAACTACACGCATATTTGTATGTAACAAAACAACTTAAAAAAAATATGAAGAGATATTTGCATATATATGGATGGTCTACCATCATATCATCATATGAAAAAAGTGTTCAACTCCTTTTTATTTAAGTTATCAACTTCAAATACGATCAAGGAGTGGACATTAAATTATATCCAAGAAAAACTGATAATCTAATTTCATCGCTTATATGAATATTTGATAATTGATCAAACTTAATGAGAATTGATGGCCATTAGCACCCACCAAACAAGATAAAACCTTTTTTCTATTCTTTTTGAAATTGAATCCATAGACACTGTTCTAAATGTTTTAGAGTCATATCCAATTTATTGAACAACAAAATCATTTCAGCATTCTGGCACCATAAATTAAGGAATCATCTACCCTAACCCCGGGTCCTCGACAATTACCATGGTTGGTTAAGGCATGATTACACTATTGTGATGAGGAAAGAGAGATGCGATGTTTGCAAGGATGGACCTACTTTTGTTGTTGTTGTCAACATTGAGTTTTGGTTTCCACATATAAGCATTAAGGTTTATCTCCCTTGAATGCAATGGCTTCTCTTAAAATAAGAAGTGAGGTCAGGATTCGCCAGGGCAATGAAGGGAATACCAAAGCGAGCAAAGGACGGCATACGAAGAGTTGCGAGATACGGACGTGCATAAGAGGAGATCAAAAGTTTCAACATAGATGCATGAGGGAGAGTGCAAGCATGCATTGTAAGCTTTGCAAGTGCCATAAGATCAAGATAGTTGAAGATTAGTGCGGTGTATAAAAAGCATATGAGAGAGAAGAATGAGCAAGCGGCAGGGAAGCGAGAAACGTGTCGAATGAGGTGGGAGTGTTAGTCACAAATATGACAATGAGAACAACGTAGGGAGCGAGCACTAGGGTCGCAAATGAGAGGGAGTGAATGAGAGCACTAGGAATGGAGTCAAGAGAGAGAGAATGGGAGTGGGTGCAAGCTTTGCGATCATGCCTCTCTGAGATCCACATGAGTGAATGTGTAAAGTGAAAAGAAAATAGTAATGGAATCATACATGGCATGGCCTCTGACAGTTTGTGCAATTTATGCTTGTTAAAATTATGCACCAAAGAAGGCAGGATGGCATGCAGCTCTTAGGTCATATGCATGTAACTAAAATAGAGAAGATGGCTCATTGGGTTAGATATGGTGCATCTCGTGCATTCAGAGTTGTATCTCTTATTTGATTTATTTAAAATATTTAAAAAATTAAAATAATTGACCAAATCGATTAGGAACTAACATAATTAATTAATAGTTCTAAACTTAAAGTCAAATAGGCATTAATTTTAATTAGGAAAAATAAATGGATAGAATTTTAAGAATTAGGCAAATTAAGACCAAATTAATCACATTAAGTTCAATTAACCCTATTTTGGGATGAATAATAAGCATTAACTTTTACAGAAAAAAAGGGAGAAATTGGCATGCTTCCTAGGTTAGAGAGAGGAGAGTTCGGTCTTGAAAAAGGTCAAGTAACTTTGAACTGGGTAAAGAAAATTATCTAGAACAAAGAACGTGACAAAATGAAAATGATAGAATTCAGTTTGTGGAGGGAGGTGGGATTACGGGAAAAGATAAATGAATTAGGAGAGGTTTGAATGAGGTTTCTAACACCAATATAGAGAAGAAAAGGAGTGTATACCAAATAAGAGATAAAATGATTGTTTTTTTTAATCATTTCTCAAAAGAGAATGGAAGCCGGATGAAAGCGTGAGGGGTGCTTTTTGTGATATATTTAAGTAGAAGAAGAAGATCGAGGAAGCATAAAATAGAGAGACAAAGCATGAAGGGTGCTTTTTGTGATACATTTAAGTAGAAGAAGAAGATAGAAGAAAGCATAAGAAAGAAAGACGTGGAATGAGTATGATAGAAGAGATAATGTAAGATTAGATAAAAGAGATATATATTAAAGTTAGTATAGAGAGTGACACGTCCAGTAAAGCATCAAGCATAATAATTTACATGTGAAAACTCAAAAACTTTTCATTCAATGATTAGTATCGTTTTAATGGCCTACTTATAGACCTAAAATGACCTTTAAGCCTTATCTACATTCCATGGTTATCCAAAAGTTTGAAATTGAATAAAATCCTAAAATAAATACTAAATCTATCATTATTTCATAAAATATAAATAATTACCCTAATTAAATGAAATTACATCAAATTGAAATAAATTGTGGTACGCAATGACAAAATAAAAATATAAAAGGTAGGTGCAATTAATCAAATTATGGCATTGGATGCCTATCCAGTTTGACAGAAAACGTAACAACAATGTTTTAGAGATCATTTTGGCAAAAGTTAGCATAAGGTCTTCATCAATTGCAATGAGAAGTGCTCATGTATTACCGTAACTAACACTCTGGGGTATAAACATACATTGTGGTAAGCATGCAACATAAGAGGGAAAGGTATTTTCATTATATCATTAAGAAAATTCAACTCATCCATATTATCTCATTAATGTCATTAAATAAGGTCCAAAAAATGAAATTGAGTTCAAAAATTAAAGCATTTTCCATTATAAACTAAAGCAACAAATATGGTAAATGTTCACTTGGCTTCTCAAGCATGCCTAGGTAACAACTAAACCTCTCAAGTTTCAAATCTAATGCATTTATCACCTACAGCTGCTTCTCCAAATCAACATGACATTCTTATCTCGCTACAACTAAATCTTACCGAGTAGCTCAAGTCTCTGTATTAGGTGGATGTATGGCTCTCTTATGCAAGATGCTCGCAAACTTTCAAAGTGCATTAAAACTAACACCAAACTTCATATACTTGTTAAGCGTGTTACAAGAAGCCTCCAACAAATTTTATTCATAATTAAACCTTATAAAGTTCTCACCAATTCTTTAGTGTTTTCTAATTATTATGTTATTAAGCAACTATTGTGTAAAAGAAATTGCAAAATAAAGTTGACACCTCTTGCAATAGTCAAGGTAATTGTCATGCAAAAAGAACTGCAAATAGAGTTGACACCCAGCAGCACTCAAAACGAATGAACAAAGAATGAAGATTCATAAATCCCAACACAAATAGTTGAAATAAGGCTAAATATGATGATGATGATGATACATTGTGTAAACAAGATAAGTTTTACATGTGCATTTTTTGCTTCTTTCCCTAAGAAATCAGCTAAAAATAAAAGAATATACTTTGCACTTTATAGCAATAAGCTAAGAATGTTAAACTACATGAAATGGGTTTGACAATATTGCGTACTAAAAATGTTTCTTTTTAAGAATTGCAACTTAAGCTTAAACTACACTAAAATAAGTGAAAATGACTCAAATGGCCTTTCTACCTTCATGTTGTGTTTGTCGGAAAGGAAAAAATTCGTTCACCTGATTCGTTGAACTTTTTGGCCTGATTTCAGCATCAGTAGCCTTTCTCTTTTATTTTTTATATGAAAGGTGGCTTGCCAAAGGTTCATTGACTTTAACATTGGCATAAATTCATCGTAGGATGTTTTGCAATACTATCATTCCTTCAGTCCTCATTGCTATTTCTATTTTTATTTCTATAATCACTCATTTCCTTCTCAAATGCCTCAACAATATTTTATACAAACTTAAAAAAGAATAGGACGCATAAAAATGACAAAATGACAACATGAAATTGTAGAGATTTTAATTCCAAATAGCAATTAAATTTACAAAGCCAGAAGAAACAAAAAAATAAATAAGTGGATGGATAAAAATGAGAACCTAGAATGGAGAGGGACAGCAGTAGTGCATTTAGGGAAAACAATCAAAAACAGGGTAAGAGAAATAGCATAAAATCACTAGAGTTAAGAAGCTCGTGAGAGTACAACAGAATAAGAGAACACTCTTAATAGATTGGAAGACTTACCAACTGCTACCAAAGTTAATTTAGCACACTGCAAAAAAAAGAGAACAGGAATCACTCTCGATAATAATGAATTAACAAACGATATTAAACTATTAATTAAGAACAGAAACCAAGCTTTCATTTCACAATTAAAATATAACAAAGTTGAAATACCATATTTCAACAAAGAATTCTTTCCGGAGCGGTAAATTTACGTGATCCATAGAGGAAAGAGCGGAAAAAGTGAAGTGTCCAAATAAGCCTAAAGATAGCCGGTGTACTTCACTCAATAATCACAGAAGGATAAAACATCTTTTTTTAAGAAGTAAATAATCCAACCCTAAAGAAACTACTGATGTAAAATATATCTGGAGAATTAAACTTCACAAACGGACTCGATACTTAAACTAGAAGAAAAAATGAACAATGAGAGGCTACTCACATCGTATACTTGAAATGCTTTGCCAACGCTGACAGTGACAAAAGTTTCTGTCCCCAGCCGTTGCACGGAGAAGGGCACGCTCTCGGTAATGTAACCAATCGCCCGGTATGGCTCAAAGATGCCCATCGTGGGGGGAAGAAGAAGCGAAGTAGAGCTCTATGGGCAATTTGGTAGCAGGATTCAAGCAGTATTCAACCTAAATCATGCCAATCTGCAACAATGACAACTTGGGGGCTGTTTGGTATCGGATTTACCGCGGGATTTAAGTCGGGTTTAAGCTAAAACCAGCCAAACGGCTTTTGTGCGCGCGTTAAATCCCGGCGATGGGTAAATCCTGCATTTAAGGATTTACTAAATCCCCGGGATTTGGCCGAAAAAGCGCGCCAAAGGGAGAAAGTTACCTTCACAGCTAGCGAGCTCCCGTTGTTGCTTCCGATCAAAATGTCGTAACTTCCGATCCGACAGGAAGGGAAAGTTGTCGAAGGAGCGAAGTGGAAAAGCCACGAAGGAGCCGAAGAAGCTACTCGTGCAATCTCTACACCTCCTGCGACGCAACGAAGCTGAAAGGCAAACCTAGAGGCCTCTAACTTATTTTTGATTAATTTAATTAATATAATTTAAAATATTAATAATTAAATTAATTAAATAATTAATATTATAATTAGTGTATAAATTAATTATCTAATTTAACTTAAATCTGTAATTATTATTTAAATATTAATATTATTAGCTTAATTAATATAACTTAAAATATATATTATTAAATATATAATTAATAATATAAATAATAATTAATGAGTAACTTGTACTTAACATATTATTAAATTCATAACACACTAATTTTTTATTTTGAATTATAAAAAAAAATTATTTTTATTTATCTTCTTCACATTGTATCCCAATTGTATATATGAAATATGTTATCAAACGGTTTCTTAGGATTTAATATTTGTCATACCAAAATTTTTAGGATTTAACACCCTAAAATTTATTAAATTCGGATTTACGGGATTTACTAAATCCCACTAAAATTAAATTTCACTTGTTGCCAAATAGCCCCTAAGTCCTACAGAATCTTAAATCCAGTTTTTCCATCGTTTTGCTTTAAATCCCTAATTCAGTAAATCCAGGGCATTGTACTGATTTAACTTAAATTTGCAAATCTCTCATGAGCTCATCTTCTCCTTCACACTCCTTCGAGTGCCTCAAGTCTCATCGATGGCTTCTTCCGTGAGCTCCGTCCAATCATCCTCGCTTCATAGAACTCGAGGTTTTTTGAGGCTTGGGGGCCATGGAGCTAGGGTAGAAATGTGGGTTTTGGAGTTCAACCTCAATTTATTATTTTATTTTTATAAATATTGATAATTATGATAATTTTATGATTATTAATATTACTTGATATTAATTAAATTAAATATATTAATCATAAATTTAAATTAATTTAATAGCTTTATTAATGAACTAAAAATTATTATTGATCATATATCTTCTTGAACTTATTTATGTATAATTTGAATTGACTCAATAATGACTATTTATAAAAATAACTATTTATATAAATATATGGTATTATTAATATGCATACTAAATATTAATTTTGATTCAACTCATTATTGAATCATTTCAAGTTAAGATACTCAACTCAATTTGATTTTGATTATGAGAGATTTTTTTTTTTTTTTTTTTTGTCAAATTCATTTGAACTCAATTTAATATCATTCGTGTGTTTAAGATTGAAAAATTTATAATGGTCATGTACCTATATCCTCTTGTGTCTGTTACAAATAGGCATGGAGTTTTAAACCAAATATAATATTGTCTCTCCATTCTCAAGTCTGAAAACATCTATCATGTTCAAATGTAACTAGTTATATAAAATTATGTGACTCTAAAAAGATATAGAAGACACACTCTATTACTTGATTTTCACTTTATGGTGAGTGAAGGTCTTAGTGATGGTGGAAGGTTACAAGTATTAGCTTTGAGGTGATTAAAGGCACTACAGGAAATTTATTCATTACAGCGATTTTTGCCGGCGATAACTCATATTCTGGCGTTCTAAATAAATCGGCGGCTTTTCAGCGGTTGTCAAACTGCTGGAAAAAGACGCCGGAAATCGTTACCGCGGCATTTTTCCGACGGTTTATTTACCGGCTTTCGGCGGCATACAGCCGGTTATCGCAGGTGTTTTTTACCGGCAGCTTCCGGGCCGTCGACGCCGGTATAAATTACGTCGTTCGACCACAGGTAGACCACCGAAAAATGTATCGGCGGTCTACCGGCGATCATAGCCGAAGGAATTGCCGGTGGTTGTGGCCACCGGCGTGTCGCTGAACTACCGTCGGAACAGCGTCGGTAAACCGCCGGTATTTACCGATGGTTATAAGGAATTTTGGCGACATCAATCAGTCGTCCGGTATCGTTGTTTCTGGCGGCCAACCGCCTGGTAGCCGCCGGAAACCTGTAGCACCTAAAAAAAAATTGACAGCCTTCCTCTATTTGAGGGATTTTCACCCTAAATTTAAACCTGCACAGAAAACAATACTACTATTTTGGGCAACACGCCTTATAATCCATCACAGCAATTATTACAAATATATTCATAAATTAAACAAACAAAATAATAAATAAAACCAGAGTTTTAACTTCACAAGTTCAACCAAGTTCATCACCAAAGTTCTAAGTTCATAAGTTCACCAAATAAGTTTACAATCAAATTTCATAGTTCATCAAATAAAAAAGATGATAATCCTCAGTTGTACCCTCGTTGTCTGGAGATGCATGTGGTTGCTCCGTCTCTTACTCTTTCTTCTTTGATTTTCTTTCTGTTGGATTGCAACTCTGCTTACATTTCATTTTGAACTTTCTCATCTCTTCAATCTCTCTTACTAAACATATGCAGATGAACTCTTATGCCTCTATTTTATACTGGATCATACCATTGACAGTTAAACAAGCATACAAGTTCTCATCTTTGTCTAGGTACTCCAGGTCAAGAACTCATTCAGGATACTGTTATATCACACTCATCTTTTATGAGTGTTCCTCTATCACATACTCCACATTTTCAGTTTTATTCCTTCACTCCACGACTGGTATAAAATCTGAACTCATTCCTTATATATATTGGTCAGATTTTTACTTTTCGCATTGGACCCTTGTTAGTGTTTGCCAACCTTTATCAAATATTTATTATAAGGGTTTTGTACTAAAGATATTTTCAATAATATAGTATTTTTTATAATAAATAAGATGTAATTCAAATTAAAATTTTAAAATTTATGAGCTTACATAAGATTTGAACCAAGTTGGGAATTCATTTGCAACAACTTGCTCAATATCACTCGAATCTGTTAGAGGCAAATTGCTTAGAAAATACCTGGTGACAAAAGATTCCCTCCTATTTCACCATCACTCTGAACAAAAGATCCAAAATATCTAAAACGTGTGCTTTTATTAATTACTTGATCGCCCAAAGTCACAATCCCCTCACTAGCAAATTATCACCAACAAAAAGCATACACCAAGGTACATCTAAGGCGACACTCTCTAATCTCATCATCCACAAGAGATACTCCAACATTTTCATGTATATGCTCATTCCATATTCTATCTCTAGGGGTAAAGTCCAAATTAAGTCACAAATCGCTCACTAAGTATATTGCTACTAAAATTACACCCCATATATATTCAGTTTTAGATCTACTCAAGCAAAAACATGTAGACTCTATAGTTGACCACCATAATTCGAGTTTACCTTCGACTCCTATAATCTAGTGAGAACAAAAAGCATACAAGTAAAATATCATCAACAAAAAGCATACAACAAGGTACATTCTCTCGCAAATGTCTCTCTAGTGAGAATAAAAAACAACCATGACAAAATACAAAAAATAAAATAAAAAAAGCTCACCTCGGAGGCGGCATAGCGCACGAGAAAGTTCATCGGCGGCCTTGCAGTGGGGAGTTCGAGGGCGGTCGGTGCGATCGTCGGCAGCCGAAGAAAAGTCATCGGCAGCCGGAGACAGCTCGGTCACGCGAGAGGGCGGGCGGAGGAGAGGGGCGAGCACAGCCGAAGAGAGATAGATGAGGAGATGAAATGAAATGGAAGGCTCGGACTGGTTAATTTTAGGGCTTTTACCGATGGCATTCTAGCGGCTCATACCGGCAGTAATTAAATTACTTAACACCGACGGTTTTAGCCTCCGGTATACTGTCGGTACCTTTTAAGGCCGGTGGTTTACCCGGCGATTTTGTGACCACCACTATTTCTGGCGGCATAAGCTTGCATAATGGTCGGTTTGGCCGCCGGTATTAACCGGCGGCCACCAAACCGCCGGATAAATTGCCTTTATTACAGGCGGCTAGACAACCGCCGGTCCAGGCCGCCGGTAATGGATGAATTTCCTGTAGTGAGGGTTTGGGAAAAAAGTATTGACCTTGGTTATTTATTTGGTGGAGCTTGTGGATGGAGGACGGCTTCGATAATATTTGTATAAGCTATGTTTTGGAGATGGGAACATGGTTTAGGGATTAGGGATATGTGGAAAATAGTGGAGAGACTTCTAAAGAGTTGGAGAAAACATAGGGTTGAAAGGGAGCCAAGTTGAGAGAGTTGATTAACTAGAAAATGGAGTTGAATGATAAAGCCTAGAATTAGGAGGAAATGCAGGGAGTGGTTTAAAATATTTTTAGGGTTATGGAGATGATTATTATGGCACTTATAACCCCTTGAAATTGGCTTGGTCACTTCAACTAAGAAAAGTTAAACCTAACTCATTTGGTACTTTTTCTTAATTGGACTTAAGCCTCAATTTTTAACAACCTAATAATTATTAAAATAAATTTAAAAGAAGAATCTAAATTTCTATTTGAACTAGACCACTGCAACACTATGCCTGTGGGGCGCAATAGTGCTGAACCAGTGAGCATGGCATAGCGGTGCCAGTGTGCCACGTACCAATCGTGGCATGCCATGGAAGGAAAGAAGAAGAAGAAGAAGAATGAGAAGGAAGGAGAAGCGAGGGGAGACAAATCGAGATTTTGGTTAGTGGTCCACTTTACGGCTTTTACAAAAATTACTCATATCATTATAGGTGACTTTTCTCCTATTTATATTTTAAATGATTTTGATTTCGACTGTTTGATTTTTCCTAAAATAATTTTATTGTATTTTCTTCGGATTTAGTAAACTTTTTCCACTTAACTTTTTTTCATATCGTAGTGCCAATTATTATGGACATTTTAGCTGGTAAATTTTATAATTTCACCAGGTAAAATGATAATTATTATGTTTTGTATGATTTTCACATAATAGTAAGTTTGACATTTTAATGCAAGCATCTTATTATTACATGCATTGTGAATGATATGTTCATGTGATTATATAACACCTGATTGTTATTACTATTATAAAAATATATGTGAAAATAAGTAAATATTGGTTATTTATTTACGTTGGCTCGGGACTAATCGACTTGTAGAGGATGGTGGACCGACGATCTTTTCCTTAAATAATTATAATGTTTTTCACTAATATTTTATTATTGAAAGCATTAGATAGCTCGGGATATTATATTAAA